CCTTTCTAATTTCAATATGCAATTGTTGACATGGATGAAAGATGAGATTACACACCTTTTTAACAAAATAGATCAACAATTTCTCATCCAATTTTCTCGCTTGTTTTTCAATATACGACACGACTTGTATAACAAATCCAAGTTGTATCAAATAAATCATACGATCCAACAATTGTTGACGTAGACCTAACTTTGTATGTGAATAAAATATAATGTAAACCAACAGGTAATGTCATGCTAATTACAAGCAAATTAATATAATGTACGGAACCATAATTTCTGGTGTAAGTTTCAATGAATTGGATTCCAATTCGGCTTTGAATGCGTTAAAAACGTGTGTTCGTTGGTAAGGGTGACGAAATGCAATCTTTATTTATCATCAGAGATGTTATAAAAAATTATAGTTAAGAAAAAGATTATATATTTTTTTTTTAAAAAAAAATGGAATTTATTCAAAATCCTCACCTCTTCAAGAAGCAAATGAGGAATCGGCACTTCATGATGTTTGAAATGCTTCTCGTAAAATGATGTATCGCGTAATATGTGTTTAATCCAAAATATCAAAGCCATTGAAGCTACCGGAGTGCTAAATTCATAGAAGCGATATAATATTCAAATTTTTTTAAAAAAACCGTTATCACAAATGAGAAAACTTACTCCATATATTCTAAAATTTCTTTGACGATACTACCGAATTCAGTAGTCGTTGCACCCTTTCTAGACACAGCGGCTTCAAGTTTTTTAAGTGTTGTAAAGGTACTATCGACTTGTGAAGAATCAATCTACAGATATTCAACATAATAAGAATAGAAAGGAACCCTTAATACGACCTTATAACAATTACAAACAATTTACCTCTCCATTGGTTAATTCTCTGGCACTTGAGGCAAAAGCTGCCAAATATAAGTATTTCTCTTTAAGATCTTGCTTCAAGTTTTTATTTTTATCTGAAGGCACGAATATATTATTCAATAACCAATCTAAATATTGTATAGAAATTGTATGCATAAATTTTGTTAGACGAGTGTTTGACATTATATATATAAAAACTTTTTTTTCAAGAAAAATTATTAACTAAATTGTAATAATGATTATAAACACTACGTACAAAGTAATTGAGGATCGCGTAGAAATATTGGAGAAGGTGGTGTCGCAGAGTTATAATGCTTATGCAACTACGGTGAATAAGCACCCCAAAAAATTGTAATACGTGAAGAATGAAACTGATAGCAAACACAATATAGTGATAAATATACAAAAAGGCTTACCTCAACTACATCTCCAGGGGTTGGGGGTATATGTAGTATAGCTGTTGCAATAGTAGTTGGCGGGGCCGATAACAAATTTCTCAAAGTCACCACAAGATCATTACTAATAATATAAAATTAGATTAAAATTTTAAAAATTTC